AATGAGTGAACGAATGAATGCGAATGAATTAACACAAGTGATTGAATGAATGAGTGCGATGAAAGAACTAGTGAACAAACAAACAAGTTAATGAATACAAATAAACTATATAGTTTATAAAATACATTAACAAAATAAAAAAATTGAATTACAAATAAATATACATATATAAAAAATAAATATTAATTGAAATAAAAAAAATCTTCGATGATGACGTCATCGTTAAAGTTATAACAAACAAAACGTAAACTTTAAATTTACTTACTTGCTGACAGACATAATATAACAATAGAAAGAAGACATTTTGAATTTGAAATACATTAACATATATACATATATTCACTCTTACATACACACACAAAACAATATATACTCACACACACAGCACACACACACAGAGAAAAAGAGAGAGAGAAAGAAAGAGAGAGAGTTAGTTATGTGTGTTTATGAAAATTTCTACCACAGATGAACGAGCTTTTTCATCTAGGCTTGTTTAACTTTCTGCTTTCTCTGGAGTTAATAGATAGATTGATAGAATAATGAATGAATGAACGAACGAACGAACGAACGAATGAATGAATAAACAAACAAACAAACAAACAAACAAACAAACAAACAAACAAACAAACAAACAAACAAACAAACAAACAAACAAACAAACAAACAAACAAACAAACAAACAAACAAATGAATGAATGCATGACTGAATGAATAAAATGATAGATCGATATGATACATGAACGAATGAACATAGAGATGAATGGATGAACAGAAAAGTGGCGAACGAACGAACGAACATACAGTAAAAGTGTGTTTGTGTGTTTGTGTGTAATGTATATGATATAAATTATCGTACACATGTACGTCACAAAATGCATTTAATACATTTCTAATGCATTAATCAATATATACAACATAAATTTAATGAGGTGTTGAGATCACACGCTGGTATCATTTCTTTCATTTTCTTCCTCCTACTTTCTATCTATCTCTCTTTCTATCTATCTCTTTCTATCTATTTTTTTATTTTATTTCTCTAACAGATTTTTTAAAAATTATTATTCCACCCTCCTTTTCTCTCTCCTCTCTCTCTCTTTATCTTATCTTTCTCTTTCTCTCTCTAATTTGTGTTTAAATCTCTTTTTTTATTTTCTCCTCTAATTTTCATTCCTTTCTCTCTCTTTCTCTTTTTCATTCTCCTCTAGAATCCATCATAGTCTTTATTTTTTCTTCCTATAGATCTTAATAAGAAGCACATATGTGAACATGATTAAACTTGAAAACATCATTGATAACACCGTTTAGAACAATCTTGTTAATGTATGTATGTGTGTGTGAGAAAGAGAGAGAGAGAGAGAGAGAAAGAGAAAGAGCGTATATGTGTGTGTGTGTGTGTGTATGTGTGAGTGTGTGTGTGTGTGTTTGCCTAAATGTGTTATCAGATGACGTCTTAACGTCAAGTTTTACCATGTTTTTGAGCCACTGACGCGTATTTAGTATGAGATGTTGATGGTTTTTAATATGAGGGTAGGAATTTTTTGTCGGATTTCGAAACAATTTCAGGGATAATTATCACATTAATTCGCATTCTTTCCCATGTGTTGTTTCACTTTGTTATTGTTTTTGTTGTTTGTGATGTTGTTGTTGTTGTTTTTATTGTTTTAACAAATTCATCAAATTATTAATTTGCGTTTTGCAATGTGAGAGATTTTCGATTTAACTTCCAATCTTACTTTCTCTTTCTTTCTTTTATTTTTTTCTCATTCTTCTTTCTCTCCTATCTTTTTTTTTCATCTCTTTTTGCCATTTTCTCTCTCTCTCTTTCTCTCTCTTTCTCTCTCTCTCTCTCTCTCTCTCTCTCTCTCTCTCTCTCTCTCTCTCTCTGTTGCTTCATTCACACTCTTGTCCTTTGATTTTTTAATTTACACACACTATCTCACAATTTCACTTCTTTTTCATATTCTGTCACTCTCTTTCTCTCTCTCTCTTTCTCTCTCTCTATTTTTTCTTTCTCCTTCTTTCTATCGTTCTCTCATTTTCTCGGTCAATCCGTGCATGCCGTCGTCCCAGTTCCCAGTGGAACGATGAATTGCTGGGCAGTGAAGCAGATGACCGCCGATGCTAACATGCGCTACGTGTCGGGCCTCATTTACTGGACATTATCATCATCTTAATGGCTGGCTGATCGGTCAGCTGGTTGGTTGGCTGGTTGGTTGGTTGTTAGTTTGTTGGTTGATTGGTTGATTTCTTGGTTGGTTGGCTGGATAGTTAATTGGTTGGTTGGATGTTTGTTGAATGGTTGATTGGTTGGTTGGCTTGTAGGTTGGTTAGTTTTTTGTTGAATGGCTGATTGGTTGACCGTTTGATTGATTGATTTTTAGGCTGGTAGATAGGTTGGTTGTTGGATAAATAGTTGGTTGGTTGGTTGATTGGTTGGTGGGTTGATTGCTAGTTATCTGGTTGCTTGGTTGACTAACAAATGTATCAATAAACACGAAAAACTACACAGCAGCGTCTGACTCCTTATTTAGAATTTCTAATTAAAATACGTCGATGATGAAAAACAATATCAGAGAGAAACATTGAAATATTATTACGCAAGGTTCGATGTGTACCTACTTATTTACAACCAGTAGTGTGTAAAGGTGTTTACATGATGTGTGTATGGTTAGAGTTGTGTTTGTGTTTTTGTTGCAAGAAGAATATAAAACTATGGTGAAATATTCATTCACTCGTTCATTCAATCATTCACTCATTCACCCAATCATTCACTTTTTCGTTTATTTACCAAGTTACTCATGCATTCATTTGTTTGTTCGTTCATTCATTCATTTGTATATTTATTCGATCATTCAATAACTATTATTTAGACGACTGAATGAATGAATGAATGAAAGAATGAATGAATAAATAGGTGAATGAATAAATGAGCAGACAAAAGAATGAATGAAAAGGAAGTATAACAATTGACAGAATAGACTAGAAACACATTAAAGCAAATTAATGAGCAAACGAAGTCGCCTTCTTACCTATAATAAGCGTGGCTAGAAGTGTGTAAGGCACACACACACACGCACACACACACGCACACACACGCACACACAACACTCACTAATACGTACATTCATACAATACATAGACTCAAATTAACATACACACGTGCATACATACAGACATACATTCAAGGCATATATACATAAACACACACGTATGTGTATATATATATTGTTTATGTGGTTTTGAAAATATATACACGTGTGAGTGTGTGCTGGTTTGGTGTGAAAGTGTGTATATTTTTTGTTTGTATCTATATTGAGACACGCTTCGTAATTAAAGAATGCTTACAGAAACATCAAAAAGCTGGTAGCCACCAACACATATTGACACCAAATTGTAACGACCATTGTGTTGTATTATAAGTGTGTGTATGCGTGCTTGTGTGTGTGTTGGTGTATATGTATGTGTATGTTTGTATGGGTATGTTTGTATGTGACGATTGTATGTGTGAATGTTTGTATGTACTATTGATACAACTATGTCTGTAGGAGTTTTTTTTGCTTGTATGTATGTTCTTATTGGCTAGACTAGATAAGTTTTTAGATGAAATTTAACTTTAGTTTAGCCCTCTCATAACTTTTTTTGATGAGAATTTTGTTGTGAATGTGTGTGTGTGTGTGTGTATGTGCAGATATGCAAACTAGCAAACAAGCGAACAACATGAACGAACGAACAACTGTTCAGTTCACTCCATAACGACAATGATAATGAGCAGATTACTGGGAGTTTGGCATTTGAAATGTCGCTGATGATGACGACGATGATGATGGTGGTGACGATGACAACGACGATGATGATGGTGTTATTAGGATAGGATATCATGATAGGTATAATAATGATAGTGAATGTAAAAGTTATATAATAATAATGATAACACTGATGATGATGGTGACGACGATGATGATGATACACTAATTAGAAGCGCCTCAATGATAACGACTACACTGACATATGGATGGGGTGATGTCGATTATTATTATTATTGTTATTATTATTGTTATTAATGTTATTGTTATTAATATTATTATGTAAATTGATTATTAAGACATTTAATAAAGCTGCAGTATTCTGTTCTACTCTATCATTCGTTCGTCCACTTATCATTTTTTGAACCTGTCGTTTTTTGATTCAATCGCTCATTCACTCATTCATCCATTCCCTCATTTTTTGCTCATTCATTCATTCATCCATTCATTTATTTTTTTATTCAAACATTCATTTATTCATTCACTTATTCATTCCTTTATTCGCAGTTTTGTAGACTAACAATAAAGACAGTTTTTGAGAAACCGATATAAAGGATTTAAAAGTTTATAAATTAAGTTCATACTTTAATTCAAATTTTATGAAATGATATTTAGTTGAAATAAATTTAATTAAAATTTTAATTAATTAATTAAAACGTTACTCTCTCTCTCTCTTTCTCTCTCTTTCTCTCTCTTTCTCTCTCCCTCAGTTTCTCCACTTAAATTGACAGATCTCGTTAAGTAGTCGTAAAAATCGTGTTGACACCATAGAAAGATATTGAGGCATTGATAATTTTCACGCGCCGTTGATTTTATTACTATGCATCCAGATAATTTTGCACTTATCATCGCCCATTTTACTTATTAGCGTCCAGTTTAGCTATTACCGACTTGTGTTTTGTGTTATATCGCCCGTCTTTCCTATTTCGGTTTAGTGAAACAACAAGCTGTTGTCATAATCATTATCAACAATTTAATTTTATTCTTCAAAGGTAAAGATTCAAAATGGAAAATTTTCAAAAAAAAATAATTTATTTGGAACTAAACGACCCAAAAATATTTGAAGATTACAACGTCAACAGTGACATTTACAGTTAGAATAGATGTCAATCAATCACTCAGATAAGGTATCATACTCATCCCTCTCATGAAATGTACTACCTCTTTCAAATTATTTATTAATCAATCATTCAAGTGCTAAATGTATTTGTTTTTGCTCTTTCTCCCTCTCCCTATTTCATAAGCATCCATCCGATATTTTTCATAAAGTTTGGATCTAATGGTTGCTGATAACATTGGAATCTTGCTTTTTCTTGGCACTGCGCCTGAATCTTTTTGAAGTCTTCCTTCGTTAATTTTTTCATTTTCACCAGCTTGTTCCAAAGTATTATTCATTGCGTCTGTTGCATCATCGTCATCGATAAGTTTCTCAAAAAATGACCGATTCTTGTGAAAACTTGTTGCCAACATGTCAGCTCTCTCGTCGAAGGTCTCGTCTGCAAATGATTGGAGAGTATTTTCTGAATCATCAGGCCATAGCGTCGGAAAGTAACGTTTCTTCTTCTTCATACTCGATTCCTCTGCATTCACGAAAGTTTTGTTTGGTGTCGCCCTTTGAAATTTTACTTGAATACTGGTTTTATCAAGTTTGCCTAGAAATTGCCCATTTAAACCTGTTTGGTTCAGTTTCGAACAACCTGTAAACTTTGACGAATTTGAAGTTTGAACTCCATTTTTGTTGTTTCTTTCAGAGCCAACAAACATTGATTTACTGATTTTTTTTCCATTTTCATCAAAATCTTCATCAAATTTGAAGACAGACTGGCTAAAAGTACTTTCAGCACGATACGATGTATTTCTGTTGAAACGGTACGATCTGTTTGTCGTATCGAGCCTGGATTTCAAAAATGACGCTAGATCATTATACCTCCCGAATAAGTCATCGCAAGATGGTTCATGAACCGGAGTGAACATCGAGTCCCCTTTTCCACATTCATTTGCCATTTTGAAATTTAATTTTCGGCAAAATTATTGCTTGTGTAATTTTAAAATATCTTTAAAATAATTTGAATTCAGAAAAATAACTGTTTTAATTATTTTTGAGCCTCGGACACTTATATACAAACAACGTGAAAGAGTTCACAGGTTAAATTAATTTTTACGAGTTCAGGATAGTTTATGTTTGTAGTTTATTACTATTTCAAGGCAGTTAATATAAATGCGTTGTAAAATATGAACGATTTGGATAATTTAATACATTGCATTAATTTATTACATTAAAGGTAGTAATTAATTTACATTTTTTATCACGTAACGAATTTGTTTTGTTTCGAAAGTCTTGTAAAACGTTTACGAAATATTTTCTGTTCAACGGCAAACAGATCGTGAAGACATTTTTTAGTTATCGAAGTTAGTTTTTCTTCAATTTTGTCAATTAAAACAAGAGTTATAACAAATATTTGTTGGCGGAAATGCAAGAAAGTGAGTTTTTAGGGTATAAACGTAACACTCAAAACTGACCTTGGCCCTTTATAATTTGATTATTTTGGGGGCCCTATTCTTGGGAACACCCTTTCATTTCTTGTAGAAACCGCGGGGCCTGTCCTTCTAAAATCCGACTAGTGTCACCCAAAACGTACACACGTGTTGGATTGCACATGTATCTAATTGCATTATATTTAAAATGTGTATACATTCTTCGGACGCTGTATGTCATGAAGCTAAATTAACTAAATTTGTTTTGAAGAAACTAGCCAGGCAAAAAAAATCTCGAACTTTTATTTTATATACGTATATATATATATATATATATATATATATATATATATATATATATATATATATATATATATATACAGACATGCATTGCACACCACTTTAATACATACAAACATGCATACAATTATATTTTTTTTGAAAAGAATTAAATAAGAAAACTAGATACACAAATAATTTAAAAGTATAAACACGAACGGAACACTTGCATAAAAATAAAGATAAAAATATCTTACCATTTTTCATTACCAATGTTTTGAATGGAAATTTTGAATGAAAGTTTTGAGATCTTCTAGAAAAGTATTAAAAAGTTTAATAAACAAACAAATCTTAAAATAGAAGTGGTCCAACACATCATCTCCTAAATAAAATAATTTATTTCAAAGAATGAAGGTATGTGGATACATTTGAATCGACCGTCAAAAAATGTATAAGGATCTTTTAGCATTCCAACCTCGCAACCGCAAGATGTATTCTGGTATTTCATTAATTATTAGTATTTAATTTTATTATTTATTATTATTATTGATTATTATTGCTGTTATTATTATTATATTTTAATAAAAAAGGCATAAATATTCAACGCCATTGCTGCTTACATGATCATTTTTATTTGGAAATGTCAACAAGTTCTTTATAATGAGAACTTTATTTTTGAAAAAGTAAAGAAAAAACAACAAAAGAATGAAGTATGGTTTAGTAATAATTACAACACTTATTTTAATTTTTACATGAGTAAACCAACATTTCCAACATTAAAAAATATCACAATCAATCTCTTGTTCCTTCCTGGGTGTCTGCTAGTCGAGACTGCCTTGTTCCCATTTTGTTCCGTGGGTTTGTTCGTCGGCGTTGTGTCCTTGTCTTCAACGCTCCCACAAAATGCTCCCACAGCGATCTCATTTTCCTCCACCACCATTTCATCTTTTTTGAGGTTGGCCGCGAGTTTCACGATGCTCTCATCCCACGGCAACTCTCCAGCATCATGGTCGTATTCGTTAGTTTCTCCTTCATCTATGTTGTCCAGAGGCGGGAGAAAGTAGCCGGCATACTTCGATTTTTCATTCAAGCGATTGTGCGCTCGTAATGAAAATATTGCTGCCTTTGATGGTCTGTCCAAGTTTTCATCTTCTAGAATTCTCGTTGAACTGGTCACATTCATGGAGCTCATGTCTGATGTGTCCACAGTAATGTTCAACCTAGAACTCGTTGAAAAGTTGAACGAGTTGAACGTTGAATAGTTTTTCAGCTCCAGTCAATGATTGTATCATTGAAGCGAACTGATTTCTTCGGTTTCTCCGAACCTTCAGCAGATGTCAAAGCAGATCGAAGAAACGAATCTTCTTATCTTCTTTGGTAACTTGGAACTTTAGTTACATCCTCGTCATCTGACACCGAAGTTGTCGATGCTGGATTTGCCGCATCTCCTCCTTCTGCTGCTGTTTGAGGAACCCTCAGCAGTGCAAGTGGCGACACGAACCACCGATCTTTCAGACCACTTTTGTACGCTTCGTAGTCCCCGTTTCTCATCCTAGCGGGTGGACTAAAGAAGCATCCAGACTCGTCACCACGTCTCATTCTTTCTAAATTCATTTTTTCCAAATTAATTTTTTCTTTTTTTGATTTGAAAGATTAGAATGGCTACGAATCAATTGTTGAATAAGTTCTGACTCAATGGAGCTTATATAGACGCCCTGTAGGTTTACAATTCACTTGAATGTTTACACTCAATAAAAATATATCAAACTACTATCAATTTCTCAACAATTGTTGAATAAGGTCTGATTTGCATGTTTACAATTGAATCAAACGTTTACAACCGCTAGAAGGTATGAAACTATCATTCTTTATTGAATCAATTTGTCAGTTTTGACAAATTACTTCAAATTTAAATTTATCGTAAAATAATAAGTAACACTCATCATTAACCAATACATAGCAATGCTCATTGAAAAAGTCTTACAACCCGCTTTCAAAATAACCACTATTGTTTGGTTAAAAAATAACTAATTGCAGTTTTATTGGTGAGAATCAAATGAAATTTAACGATTCTTTTTAATTAACGATTATCATAATTTCATTAACAATTTATTGTAAAAATGAGATTTTTATATCATTATAGTCATCAGCAACCATTCAAGTATAGCCATTCCTTTGTCAAAATTGTGTATCAAATTATATGCATGTGGTATGTTTAGTATAAATTTTTTATCAAGTTTATTGAATTATTAAATTTTATATGGGCATATTGACTTATATTTGAGCTCATTATGGCTGGGCTAAAGTCTAAATTATCAATATCTTAGAAAAGTCTTAGAAGACTGGAGAAAGCCTATAGGTTAAATCCATCTAACTCTCTTTATTCTATCTATGAATCTGAATTGATTAATTATAAATATCTACTATTTTCTAAATACTCTACTTTTCTTAGAAATTTTATAACATCTGCTTCAACATCTAAAAATAGGTGGTCTGTTCTATCTAAACTTCTACATAAAAAATCTTCTCACTCATCTTTTTCTGCTCAACAGTTTCATGACTTTTGTAAATAAAATTACTTCTTTGAGAACATCTAATTCTAATTTTTCTTCTCATAACTTTACTAAACTTACTACTGAATCTTTCTCTGTATTTACTCCAATAAATCTTTTAGAACTAACTAAAATTCTTCTTTTCCTCCATCTAATCTCAATAGTGTTCTTCATAATTTATCTCTATGTCTTTCTTCAATTATCGCTTGGTCTGACTTAATCCTTGTGTCTTAAACTTAATCCTTCTAAGTTTGAATTAATTTGTTTTAATAAATCTAAACACTCTATTACTATTCCTCCTATTATCTTACTTGATTCTAAAACTCTTGATGTCTCTCATAAGTTTCGTAGTTTAGGTTTTATCTTTGATTCTACTATGTCTCTCTCTTCTCAGATTAATAGTGTTGCTAGAAGCTCTTACTTTCATCTACGTAGAATAAAAAAACTTTTGCCTTTTCTTGACGATCCTACTCTTCTCCTTCTTGTTACTTCGTTAGTTTTATCTAGGATTGATTATTGTAACTCGCTCTACTATAGTCTTCCTGACTCTATACTCTATCCTTTAAGTAAAGCTTTTAACTCTGCTGCTCGTCTAGTTGCTCGTGCCCCTTTCTTTTCTCATATATCTCCATATCTTGTTCTCTTGCACTGGCTACCTATAAAATATAGAATAATTTTTAAAATTTGCACGTTCATGTATAAGTTTCAATCTAAAATATTTCCTAAGTATTTATCAGATATATTAATTGAACCTAAACGCCCCGGTTTACGATCGTCTTCTTTTTCTCGCTTTTTCTTAACTCGTGTTAAACACTCTTTTGCCAAATCTGCTTTTGCTTTTTCTGGTCCTTTTCTCTGGAACTCTCTACCTACTTCTCTGACTACTTCTCCATCAC